TTTGAACCCACGTCATTTTACGATACAGTAGCAAATTCTCGTGTATGATCGGCGTCCTCAAGGAGTGGTATTTCACCACCCTCTTCCTTCGTGTGACTGTGAACCTGTCAACAAGAGAAGTGAAGACTCTTGGGAAGCCAAGGTTGAGAACCAGTGACCTAGTAACATTTTTCTGTACGTAGAAATCCTGGAACAGCTCTTGATAGGGCAACTACTACTAAGTACTTGGATGGAAACTTCTTGCCAACATTGCGTCGTCTTATCGGAGCCTATCACTTCGGATTCTCTTCATTGTGTCAATGACTCGCGATTCTCTGTTTCAGTTGATGCAAAGCGGTAAGCTCTGTTAAAACCTAGATGTCTTCTGCAACCAATAGAGTTCATTTCTCAGCCGGCACTTTTCAATTTCATAAGTCCCATTCAGAAGCAACCTTTCTACACTGCATTGCAATTGGTTGTCGGTGAAACTCGAAGCCGCGTTCTACCTACTTACTGGGACGTCCTCTTAGCCTGGTCTACTTAAACTTCGAGTCTTGGAAAAAGTAACGCTCTACTTCCGTTGACAGGTGATCATCTGTCTTCGCGTCTTGTCCCATGTCACTTCGTATTTCTACTTAGCTACCGTTATCCGGAAAGACTTGTTGCAGGGAGCGAGGCTAGGAAAGGCAGACCGGAGGAGAAAGAGCAGAGAGAGAAAGAGAGAAGCTCAGACACAGACACGAACACGCAGATGGTTGTCAGATTTCTACAGTACGACGGAGCTACATAGTTGTGTTTGTACCTATTGACTACGGATGACTTCGGCATATTGCAACAAGACTTGCGCTAGATCTGCCTCAGTCCCAGAAATCGCGATGTCACATGGCCTAATCCGATTGTTCATTTCTCACGTTTCTCATTATAGCAGAACCTGGTCTGGCGTCTAGTGCAATACTCCCAAAACATACCCATGGCCGGGAGACTTCTTGACGATGTTGTGGGACGATTCGTCAGGGTATCTCAACTTTACACGTTCCTGGCATACCAGAAGGAGGACTTGACAGTGATTATTGCCTCCGTCAGCTTATCATGTGCCTGCGTACCTACGACCCACCAGAATGTAATAGTCGAGTCATGCGCTCGTCTTCAGAAGGCTAGCTTCTGCATGAAACTCTTTGTAATGTGCTGTAATATGTATTCTTCAAAAGACTTCATCCCGGTAAACGAATGAACATAAATATTTGCATCCGTGATTTATATGCCGGTCGACCGACCATCTTTAAATAGGCTCATGGCAAATAAAGAGGCTTCTTATTAAGATGCCTTGACCTCGTGTTTTTTCTGACCGAGGCTATTACAGAGGGTTAGTAACCGGCATCGGTCATAGTGTTATGATACCGAACCGCTGATATCTTGGAATCCAGCGACTCGCCCTTTGGACTAGTATAAAACGAGCCCAAGATGCTTCCCAAACTGCATCAACGAACATGCCTCTCCACCGCTTCTACATCCCTATCGGATTCTATTCCAAGGAGGACAAAGCCGCTGTAGTTAAAGCTGTCCAGCAGTGCTACCCCCTCCTGCCCAAATTCTACGTCGTCGTCATCTTCATTGAAGTGGACAAAGAGAACTTCTATGTCGGAGCGGAGGCTACCGACAACTTTGTCCGCGTAGTTGTGCATCACATGGCCGCCCATTTTAGGTATGTTCGCAGGTCACTATAATCGATGCACAATTGAAAAGGCCACGCAGTGATGAATACAAGAAAGTGTTTATGGAGAAATACGAGAAGGCATTAGAGCCATTCATCAAGGCACGAGGTGCTGACTGGGAGATACAGATTGCGGAGATGGACGTGAGTACCTGTATTTTGTCTTGGGGAATGCAGAACTTGGAAGTTAACGGGACGTGTTTACTGCAGCGACGGCTGTGGGGAATAAATGGTATCAATCCCCCACCACGAAACTCGGAAGCGGAAGCGCTCTGGGTCAAAGAGAACAGACCTTCAGAGTACTAGATTCTGTTGCGAGACGAAAGCGAGTTGCTTAATTACGCGTAGACAAACATCCCAGACTACCACCTGATGAATATTTGATTCCTCACATCTGAGTTTAATTCTTGAATATTGCCGGGGAAAAGCAGGTGAATTTACACAACTAGCAATGGTCCCCGATAATGGTCATTGTCCTTTAAAATACAACCAACAGTGCAGTATTGGTAGTTCATGTAGCCGAGTTTTCAGCGGGGCGCGGGTACATGGTCCTGTCATGACTGCAGAATTGATTCCTCAACGAACACGACGATAGTAAGACAACGTACTGCTTCATGCAACGATCGATTTAGTCGTCCTTCGAGCTCTTTGTCAACCGTCTATGCTCATGAGCTCGTGAATGGAGTGCCGAACATGAAAATCCCATATGAAAGTCCAATCATCTTCAACGACGCGGGTTTCCTCGAACACCGGGTCTAAACAAGGGTCTGGAAGACGAACAACGATTGATATCGTTGGCAGCACAAGAATGCCATGAAACGTGTGTTTGACCTCTTCGCCATATGGCACTTCTTGCGGATCGGAGCTGCCGATAGATAATGTGCAACACTTTGCATGTTCTTGGTCAATATCCTTCTCCCCGAGGGATGCAGGTCAAACCTCGTAGCGTAGCGCATGAAGCTCATTATTTGATCAAGCCAAATTTCATCAGTGATACCGACATAGAGCTCGTCCAGCGATATACAGGGACATAAACATTCTCATGATGTCAAGTTTTGAAGGCGACGACAAGCTGAAGGGCTGTCATTGATCTTAGTTATTGCGCCCTCGCCCACGACATCTAAAACGGACATACATCTCATGCTCTTATTTTGATGGTACAAACGTCTTTTGCCATAAGTGAGGTGAAAGAGGAAGTAACGCAGCGGCCACGCGCCGGCCTTCCTCTGCCAATACGTTATACGTCGAACATGCGTTTTTCTGAAGAGAGGGAGGGATCAGATAATGGATTCTCAAGAGATGTGGCAGACGCACGGTGTCCATCGTATCCACTTGGACGCCTAGTCGGCTCATGTATGTCCGAATAAATGGAGGTGGCTGCACCAATCGCGCACCTGTACCTAGAAGTAATATTTCTGCTACTTATTAGGGCACATAATCTAGAAAAAAAGATGAAAAACGGACCAGGTCTGGGCGAAACAAGGTCAAAAATCTCCAAGTGTTCCTGCCCCCATCCCTCCCACAAAGTCTGTGGTACATCCCATAGAAACACCTGTCCCTCAAGAAAAATGCACGCCGAAGGTAGGACAAGTCCGTCAACCAGCTGAATGCCTTGATTGGTTATCCTCTTGACTTGCACAGCTGGCGGATTGTCGTCGGCGAGGATGTTGGTCAGTCCTCTGCCTCTGTCATGATCACTCAGGCTTCTCCAGCGTAGACTTGAGTGAAAAAGACGAGATGGCAGGTAACAGGACGTTCGCTGGTGAACGGGAGCGAGAATATTAGCGCGTCGTAGACAGTTCATGGTAAGGGGAGAGAGAGAGATGAAATGACGTCACGGCCACATCCTCAAATAAAAGCATGGCGATTAGAAAACATGATGATACATATATACAAAGGTACGACTGGAAAATACAGAAATATAATAGAGAAACTCAGACAGGCGCATCTGAGTGACGCCTAGTCGACCTACGAGTACGCCGAATGTCGTCTGGAGGTGTGGCCGCCTTCCGTTTCTTCCCTCGCTTCGAGGTTGTTGGTTTCGACGATTCATCATCGCTCCCCTCCTCCCCAGACTGACCATCCTTGTCCTTAGCAGCGGCTCTTTTCAATTTTTTACCAGAAGCGGCGGTTGTTGTCTGTCTCTTCTGCTCTGACTTGATATTCAGTTCTTCCCAGCCCCCTTGTTCTGACAAAAGTTTAATCGCATCCCAGGCTTTTTTATCCACACGCTGAACACTTAGACGTCCACGAGTGACGAGGTCCATAGCTAAGAAGTATTAAACACAGAAGAACGCCTAGAAGCAGACGGACTTACATCGAATGGCTTCCACGTCAGACTGACTGATATAACGGACCGTCTCCGGTATGGATTCGATACTCTGGGAGATCATATGGGAGCCTACGTAACGCAAGAAGGACAGAGGGACGAAGTGTTGTGCTCGGGCGGTGAACTTGAGGTCGACCATGAACCATTTGGGTTTCTCCTTGTCTGATTTCTTGAAAGAACTTGTCATAAATAATATGGTAAATAATGAGGAATGGGACATACAGGGTCGAAGTACGGGTGCGAACTTAGGCACAGCGGCATTAGCATGCATGCGACAACGCAGACGTGAGCAACATACGGATCCCAAGCAGTGTCTGCACCAGGATTGAGCGTTCAGCGATTCTGGCTGGTAATATCCACCTACAATCAGGATACGCTTCCTTGACCACCTGTAGGAGCTGCGTAAATGAAGGCTGGTGGGATGAGACAGGACTGGCAGACCTCAGCGAACGCCGCGATTCCTTGATGCCATAACGCGTCAAATTTCATTTCATGCTGAGAAAAGACAAGACGTACCAGGAACTTTGCAATTCGAATGGTAGAAAAGAGCCTGGGACATGTCAGCGCGCTGACTGGAATCAATGGCGACATGAGCATTTCGTACCTTGTCCCCAACTTTCATCTCCTTCATGAGATTTCTGGCCTCGTAGTTGCGAACACCCTCCCATGATGATGTACCGACGGTCTCAAAATCGTCGACGCTGAACTATCGGGACGTCTATAAGACCCTATAGCAGTCTTGAAGAATGACAGCACCTGGTGCAATATCGTAAATATAATCCAACCCAATTCAGAAACGGGATGCTACCTTTACGTCCTTTCCCTTGACGAGCCGGGAGTCGGGTTCTGCCTTGAGCAGCCAAAATTTCTCAGGCTCTGACATGACTGGGAGAGAATAAGAACGCCTTGTACACTAAGCCCGATCGAGATGGACACCATGCTCCATAGATATAAATATGAGTGAATTCAATAGGGGTGTATGACTCCATAGCTAAGTGGTTATAGCATGAGATTGCAGTGGCAGCATGTCAGCCGGACTACGTAACAATCTCGGGGTCGCGTGTTCGAGTCACGCTGGGGTCTATTTTGCGACTGTTAATTTCTTTTTCTTGGTTAACTTCTGGTGGGCCTGGATTCTGGAATAACTATTAGAATTTAGGATGCTGGAAGCGACACGAAGCCAATCGCTTTTTCAACGTAAGTCAGTTTCCGGTATTGGTGGAGGTCAAGTCTGATGTGAGGGCGTAAGTTGTGGGTCTTTCAAACGTCTTTGGTTGCTCGATCAAACCGCCGCATCCACACCCCTGCGGCCAATGGTGGTAGGACATCGCTTTGTCTGACTCGCACCTTGATGTGTTCGACCATGGCTCTCCCTCAAGATATACTGGAAGAAATATTAAGCCATCTCCGCTCCGATTTCCCCTCGCTGAAAGCCTGCTCATTGACCCATCCCTCCTTTCTTCTTCCGAGCAACAGGCTCCTTTTTGCAAAAGTACGGGTCCAGGATTATCGTGGACCTCCAACGGATATCTGCCTCGAGCTCCGAAAAGTCCTCGTGGCTTCGAAATATATGACGGAATCGATTCGTTCTCTCATCCTGGACTTCATTTGGTACCCGGAAGAGAGCGGCACCGGCATCTTTCCATCCCTACTGCAGCTCCTCCCTAACCTCCAAAGGCTCTGTATACACTTGGCACGGGGAAACGTTTCCATACTCAATGCTGGCTCGTTTCCTCCGCCGAGTTCGATTTCTAGTGTTCGAACTCTTATCTTGGACAAGATATTGTTTGACACTGCCTCTCAATTATATTCCCTATTGGCCAGCTTTAATAACCTTGAAGTCGTCACTCTGGACGAAATTGGGATCGAGGACACCAATGCTACAGTCGATTTGGTTCCGAGCCGTCAAAGCTGTCTCCCTTCCACCTTAGAACTCAGTCTGGAAGGGCCCGTCTTGGAAGCTCTGCTCTTCCCACAGTCAACAGTATCCATAGCGAACCTCCGCGTTCTCAGCATCTTGACAGTGACTGACCAGGAAGTTATTACCACCTCGTCTATACTCTCCTCGGCCAGCTCCTCTCTGGAAGGTTTGACACTGCTCCTCCCAGTCACGAAATGGTGTGAATCTCGTAGGTTGTACCTTCTCTTGTCTCATCCACTGTTGATGGTATATCTCTTCTTAGACCTCATAGATTTAGGGCACCTGAGTCGACTTCGCAGCATCCGCACCAGCCTCTACTTCAATAGCCACTGGACTTCCATTCATAGGATTCCATCTGATTGGCGAGGGCCTTTTCCATGGGCGCACCCATTCTTCAAGGGACTCCCTTCGTCCGTGGAAGATATCATTCTGCAGGTCATTTTTTGCCCATACGATGCCTTCCTTTTGCCTCATTTTCGATCGGATTGGCAAAAGCTGGATCGTATTCTTGCTAGCCATCCATGGAAATTTTCAGTACGGCTCGAGATATATATTGATTATAACTTCGGCGATCCTGGCGTCGAAGGCTACTGTTATGATGAGTGGTCAACGCCCGGTGATCTCTATAAACATTCCCGAAATTTCTTGCAGTATGAAGGCCTGCCCGAGACGAATAGGAAGGGATGCTTGCATTTCGAATTTAAGAAAAGCGCGTTAGATTCCTTAAATAATAATCTTCGACTAATGAATTTACGTTTAGGACGGATGACATTCTCTGTCCGGTGAAGGCACTTTTTTTTTTCGAACCGATGCATATTGTCACGATGGACTTGAGTTCCATCGTTGCTCGCTGCTTTCAAACCCCAACCGAAGCATTATACCACTGCCTGCGCGAAGTTCGAACCACGCTCATCTGAATATTCATCTAATAGGTTGAGAATAAACGTCTCTGAACCTCATGTATGATCTTCACTCGGGAGTGACGGCGTGTATCGTCCGTCTGTCTACGAGAGACTAGCCATGATCCACGATCTGAAACTACTCACCGATTTACGGTTTGACGCCGCGGCCTGCTTAACACTGCTAGTCAGTATTCAGATGGAGGAGTTTATGTGAGAGCTTCAAATCTGAGGACGGATCGTCGAGTCAGACGTTAGACTGTTCCGACGGACATACTTTGCTACAATATTTATCATGCAGTTCTTTGTTTGGAATTTGGAACTTGGAAAATCGTTGTGGGCACGACCAGTCTCGTCGGTTAGTACGGTTACCTGTCCTGTCCTAGATTCGGTATACGTCTCAATGAATGAAGAGAACTCTCAGTCTCAGCTCTCGTGAGATTCGGTACCACTAGTACAAGAGTGTCCATGTACCTTCGCCAATCGTCCAGATTGTCCATGAATATTAGGCAATTGTGACAGTCGCCTTGCCCCCTTCGACATTTTCTGAAGTATCCAGGTCGAACTATGTTCGGCAAAATAGACTACTTGGTTGGATCCTTCTGTTACAAGCGGTCTCATACAGCGTTGCTATCACAGTCGATGCCTCCTGAAGAGCGGTACTAGACAATAAGAAAACAAACATGAGCAAAATGGCGCGTATATCCCCTGATTTCGGGTTAATGCAGACGCACCACTCATAAGCACTAATAAGGCTTGAAACGTCGCGACGCTTTCAGTTTCTCCACCTTTGCTTTCGTCTCTTCCCAGTTCTGCTTGAGTTTCATCAAGTCTGCAAACAGAAGCGTAAGGGAAAAAAAGGTAGGCAAATGAACATATAAAAATACACATACCACTCCGCTGCTTCTCAGCTTTCTGGAACGCATAAAATTCAGTCTTCTCCTTGCTCTCCTTTTTCTTCCGATTCCTATTACTCGTCTCGCCACTCCGCTGGAACTTCTTACTCGCCACAGCAACACCACCACCCACAGTCTGGCCATACGCACCGCCTCTCGTAACAAGCGTGAAGCCATCCTCGTCGACGATCGCCTCCCCCTTGCGATATTTTGATTTCTGCTTCGTTTTGGCGAGCTCGAACTCGTAGAGCTCCATTGCCGAGTCGGCATACGCGCGCACAGCGTCAAGTGGAGGCCGCAGGGAGTCGTACGAGGTCAGATAATGTGCTAATCCCGAGGGTTCATCTGACGTCGGCCAAGGACGAGGCTTCGTTGGTGGTACGAGAGCGCGCTCTAGCGAGGAAGAATCGAGAAAGACGACATGGGCTGTTTGACCTGTGTGCCGAAGTGTCCGAAGGGGTTTTGTAGGGAGCGGAATGACCTGAGGAGGCTGAGGAGGCTTGGTTTTGTTGAGCCGCCGTCGTTTCTTCGGTTGGGTGTCTTCTCCTTCTGCAACCACTCCTTCGGTCTCCATGTCTACCTCCTCATCGCTCTCGCTGTCATCGCTTTCCTCCACCGTATCCTTTTCTTGAGCATCCTCTGAGAAAGACACCCTTTCTACCGTTCCATGAGATTTTAAGAATAACGAAAGTTCGCGTTCTGTCGCATCTGGAGGTAAATTTGCCAAAAACAGAGTGCGACCCACAGGCCACAGTTGTTTGACAGTCTTTTTAGAACCCTCATGAGCACGGGCATAGATATAGTGTATCGCAGATGAGGAATAAGAGATTGGCAATGGCACGAAACCACCAACGGTCGACATTTTGAGTGAGCACAGAAGAAATCTCTCAAGTCGGAAAAATGTTCGGCTCGGTGTTGCCGTGCTCTGCCGGGCTAAATTTAGTTTTGCAAGCCTCCCGTCCATTTTGACCAGCAAGATATATACACCTTCATGAATTATACAACAAACGTCAGTAACGAAGTTGAATTGTATTTATATGGTATTACTACCATGGCATCTGAAAACAGGCCCCGCGGGTTTTATATAAGGCTGTATCTATTTGGCTCCCCTGGGAGCACCATTACAAATCACCTGCCCTGCCAGGGAGTTCAGGGCTCAAGGACGCCCTTCTGGCTGTATCTCTCGGGTACTAGACCATCAACTTTTTGAGATCTAATCTATGTCGGACTCACAGTCTCTTCACATGATTAATCAGATTTAACACTTCTGTTGGGATCATTGAGTCAGGACTCAGGGAAGGTTGGCCTTCAAGCTTCATGAGCTGCCATGACTTGCCCAGAATTCCTGGGGCAGACTTTTGCATGGACAGGTTGGAGGGTAAGATCGTCAGACCAGCAGGCTCCCCTGCATTTCGACACACCCTAACACATAAACATTATGTATATCCAACCAAAAAGAACGGCGAGCCGGTGATATCACAGTGTTAAGTGAGCAGGTGCATGTGGGCATGATAGCAGATTGATGGCAAAGAAGTTTGCCAACAACAACGGCCCGTTCAATGGTGAAGAAAGAAAGAAAGAAAATCATTCTCGGCCATTATTGCAGTCAGTGCGCTGTAGATGATTGTCACTGAGATGGTATCTAAGAAGGCCGGGGGAGCTGGATCGACTCCTAACGCCTCTGCAACCATACCCGTGCCTAAAGGGGAGAGGCTTATGCAACTACCGCCCGGGGGAGCCAAACAGATTTATTCTTTATATAAAGGCAGAGATCTCTAACAGAAACAACAAAACAGAACGTTAGGACTCAGACTAAGGACTGTACGAGGAGCTAGGATAGATGATCTGTATGTAGTCGTGAAAACGAATTCGAGTCTGATAGCGAAGAGAGAGAGACAGAGAGATGATATATATATATGTGCCGGTCGAACAACCATCTTTAAATAGGCTCATGGCGAATAAAGAAGCATCTTACTTATATTAAGATCCCTTGACCTCGTGTTTCTTCTGACCGAGGCTATTACAGAGGGTTAGTAACCAAGGTCGGTCATAGTGTTATGATACCGAACCGCTGATATCTTGGAATTCAGCGACTCGCCCTTTGGACTTGTATAAAACGAGCCCAAGATGCTTCCCAAACTGCATCAACGAACATGCCTCTCCACCGCTTCTACATCCCTGTCGGATTCTATTCCAAGGAGGACAAAGCCGCTGTAGTTAAAGCCGTCCAACAATGCTACCCCCACCTGCCCAAATTCTACGTCGTCGTCATCTTCATTGAGGTGGACAAAGAGAACTTTTATGTCGGAGCGGAGGCTACCGACAACTTTGTGCGCGTAGTTGTGCATCATATGGCCGCCCATTATA